TTTGGGTTGCGAGATATTCAGTTAGTTTTATCAAAATCCTTTTTAAAGTAGTCCATCAGTATCCATTCTCACAAACTTGATTATTTACAAACAAATACAATATTAATAGGATTCACATGTTTCATCTACTAAACGCGGATGAAGTCGAGGGTAAATAAAGCTAGTCGAAGCTAAATTACTTCTTAAAAAGTTCTTGGTAACCAAATTGCTAAAGAATAATTAAGTATGGGAATATTGTGGCATATTGAATTAATATTTAACAAATGAATAAAATTGCGTCTATTCATACCTTAAAAATTATTCCCAACTTCCCAAGGCTACCGTTGCTGAATGGTTTTTAATTTGCCTAAAATTATGTCCATTCACAATATAAACCGGTTTTTTAATAAGCGAGCTCTGTAAGAATTTGAATTATATTTTTCCCCGAAATGTCAAGTAACTAATTTTTTAATATTTTCGAAATAATTACATCAAACAAGAAAAAATGTCCGCCCGAGAACCCTTGACATTATTACGAACGTATTAAAGTTATTTCTGGCATAACCAAATATAATTGTCACCGCAAATTAATATTAGTGATGTAAGAGTTGCAAATGTAGGTATCGATTAGTTAAGTTTAGGTACTTAGATTTAGATTATTATCGACTGTTTTCAATGTCGGTTAATGTAATGAGGGCTATCGTTTTAGCGCTCACCAGTTAGCGCCACTGTAGAGTAAGGTCCTGTCACTTGCTAGTAGCGAAGACAGTGGCACCAACTGATGAGCGCTAAAGTGGTAGGAGGACTATCGCATTTGCACTCATCAAGATGGCGCCACTGTAGAGTAAGGTCCTGTCAATCGCCAGGGGTGCCAACTGTTAAGTATAAAAACGATAGCCCTCATTGCATTGATGCCCTGAGAATGAGTATCAGGTTCTATTTTTGCTTGTTTACAATCACTTCAGTGATGATGTTAGTTATTGCGTTGTTTTTGAAATAACATAAAGCATTCTTCAGTGCTAATGTTATTACTTTATTACTTACCAGAATGCATACTTTTGCAAAACAAGATTATGTAGTTTATGTATAAATATTATTTAGTTGATGATTGCCAACATTCATAAGTTAGCTTAATGCTCCAATGAGACACCGTCAGGTTTTAGTGAGTAGGCCCTGCCCATCTGGCAAGGAGAGCCTCATATAGCCCACTGGTTGCCCCGGGCCAGTGGGTATGCAATATCATGCATTTCCTGATGAAAAAATGCTTCAATGATGCTTGGTTAAAATGTAAAGAACTTATCGATAGCGATTGCAAGTATAGTATATTCTGCGTCGATAGTAATATTTCGCGTCACTATCTTGAATGAATCACTGAATGCCTTTGTCTACATTGCTCGTTCAGCTCGCACAATGGAAGTGCCGCGCCATAGTTCGCCGTCAATGCACCGCTCGTAAACGCTCATTGTGCGGCGCTGGCGACCTCTGTTATGCAATTTGATGGTAATTTGTTTGGTTAAAGGCCTTNGCTGATTTTTGAAGTTTTCTTGGTCAAAATTAAACAAAATAGTGTAAAATGTTTTGTTATTTAAGTCAAATACAACCCGCATATGCGGTCACAGTCAAAAGTTTATTTTTATTTGTATTGAATTATATTTAGGTAATTAATGATGATAGTATCATTAGTTACCTAAGTTTATGGGTTGTCAGACTTTTTGAGATACCATAGGTAGGCGTTGAATGAGATCTTTGACAAAGAAAACGGATTACTAATGTTTGGCCAAAAAACGTTTCCCAAATTATCATATCGCAAACAACGTTTCGCAAATTTTCATTTGGCAAATTCTCATTTGGCAAAACAACTTATGGCAAACTTTTAAATCGCAAATGTCGTTTTTGGCATATTATTGTTTAGCAAATTATCGTTTGGCAAAGTATGTTTTGCCAAATGTTTCATTTGGCAAAAATATTTCATGATAAACTATTTACAAAACAATTTGATTGGTGCATATAATGGAATACAAATTAGCTTGTGGTTATTATTTTGTTTAGTGGGTAGTTAATATAAAATTTGTTATAAATTATTTTTCATATTTCATTATTTTTATCGAAATTTCCAAATGATTCATTAACAATAGAGGTAATTCTAGCGCTCGGCGGCCGCTGCCGCGGCACGCTCACTTCGCTCGCTTCGCTCGCTCCGTTCGCTCGCCTTCGCGCGTTAAGGGTCACTGTTCTAACCTAACCTAACCTACTATTTTCTGCAATACCTACTTTCTGCAACCATACTATTTTCTGCAATCTCTTTGTTTTACATAAAATTCTTGTGAAAACCACGATCATGTGGCTTATGCTTTGATTTGTGGGTAAGTATGTGAAGTCAATTTGACCAAACAAATTATTTGGGATATAATATTTGGCAAAATAAATCATTTGCTATATAAACATTTGCCAAGTAAAATTTGGCCAAATGATAATTTGACCAAATGAATTAGTTGCGAAAAGTACAGTTGCTAAAAGTTTATTTGGGAAATGAAACTTTGGCGATAAGTTGTTTGCGAAGTGAAATTTGGCGAAAAGTAATTTGGCCAAACGGAAGGATACCAAAGAAAACATATCTTTAGGGTATAAATGTTAATGTCTGTTATTCTTAAATAGGCAATCGTAGTAGTCACCGATGGCTCTAGTTGTTTTTATTGTGCTCCTCATAAGTGTAATCTATTGTTTTGAAACGTCACCAGTAGATAATTCCGTGGACGATAACGAATCGAACGACATTACAACAACAATACAAATAGAGATACCTTACCATAAATAGCGTTGCATGAAAATGCGAACTTTAAATATGATATTCAATTTTGGCAGTTATCATACTTATCGGTTGCAATATGTACTGCGTATCTACTACATAATTCTAAATATATCCCGCAGTAAGCAGCCGATATAGGTACAATACAGTAAATAAGGAAAACGCCAATGAAACTTCCCTTTATCATCATCATTTCAGCCATAGGACGTCCCCTGCTGAACATAGGCTTCCCCCAATGCTTTCTATGTTGATCGATTGGTAGCGGCCTGCGTCCAGCGCTTCCCTGCTACCTTTACGATGTAATGAGGTCCACCTTGTGGGTGGACGTCCCACGCTGCGAAACTTCCCTTATAAATTGTCAGTTATTCCGGCCAAAACTTTACCAAGAGCCATCTTCTATTAGACACAAAGAGTTCAAACGAACGAGTGATGCTGTTATGATTCGCAGATTTACAAACAGGTATCGCAGGTTGATTTGTAAGTGTTGACAAACACATACAAGCCAGCCAGCACCGCGGCCATTGGTCAACAACCCGTAGGCGGCCTGCTAGGCTTCGACTCGCTATATTTTTTGCCACAGACTTGGCAGAACGGGTTTATGCCAGTCTGGAGCGTTATACAATCGCACTTTCTAATATTATTTTACATTACTGTCACTAATGTAATGTTACAGTGAAATTGATGACTTCATTCATAATGCCTCATTATTTTCGGTTTATTACCCTTTTGAGTTTGATAGTGGAAGACGTTTCGAAACCACACAAATTCTATTCGATCCTCTGTACGGTTTGGTGTATGCAATTCGTTAACCAATATACCATTGCAATTGGTTGGCTCTTCATTCGAATTTCAGACAAAGAAACGATATAAATAGCATAAAATATATATTGATATGATAAAGAAAGCTTGAGTAATAGATACTTTGAAAAGTTATTAGAATATCTAAAAAGTAGGTACGTCTTCAAATTGTATATTTTTATTGAAATGGTTCCAGTGAATTATGTTTATTCTCAGCAAGAGAAAACTAGCTTTACAACTTCATTTGGAAACCATTTAAACAAAACTAATTTATCATTTTGTTGGCCAACGTTATTATTGCCTTGTAGTAGAGTTTGGGGGACGTTTATATTACTGTCAGACCTTTGGATAACATAATTCATACATTTCCAATACAACTGTAACAACACGAAAGAAGGTAGGTTGTAGATAATTCTTTTATACTCGTCTTCCCAAAGACGAGTCGATATTATTATGAGAAGTTGTCTTTTAGCGAAGTTGACATTTTAAGAAGTTGTAATTTCGAGAAGTGGACATTTTGCATCCCGGTTGTCATTTTGAGAAGATGTCGTTTTGATGACTAAGCCGAAAGCTTGACATCTGTCATTATTAAAGTAGACTACCACAAATACCTGATTGGATGTTGCTACGTGTCGATAAATTACAATGCCATTATCGTCTACTAGGATGTACGTCATCCGTGTGGGCTTATAAACAAACGTTCGGCTTCACACACGCAAATGCGGATGCAAGTGAATCAGCGTCTGCGTCAATTAAGGTATCTTCTGAGGCTAATCTTAGCCAGTGTTCGCCGATGGACTGTTAAATAAAATAGATGTAACCGTTTACTGTTGTCAGTCGAATAACGAGTTTTTTTTAAGACTGTGCTTTGCATTTCAATTAATTGTCTGTTAAGAATATGGTCACATTAATGTTTGACTATCACATTTATTCGCGACATACGGGAATTGTTCAGTTGTCTGAGATTTTTTAATCTTATTTAAGTACAGAGTTGGTGACCTTAAATACTGAGTGGGTAACCTCTTTGACAATTTTTTTTCTATTGTTTTGATGATTAATATTTGTGACTTTGTGTGTATTATTTCGTTGTCATCAAATAAATATTGCTTCTTTATTTATTTACAGCAAAATGTGAACCATTATGGTCATATTGGTCTACTCCATTGAGCATTGGCTTAGTTTTTTTTTCTTCACTTACTCTTTGCAATAATTCGAAGTTCCTCTCCATTTCTTTCACCTCGTGCACATTATTTTGATCAATTACGGAGCTATCAGGTTTCCGAACAAAACAAGAAGATATTTATTATAACGAAATTAGTAGACCAATTTGCCAAGCCTTATATTTCGTTTTCGCTAGGTTAATATAATTGATGTAATTGCCAAGCGTTATTCAAAACATGTTTCTTTATTGTTTCAGGTATGTTTTCACTATCATGGCCGCCGAGTACGTGAGCAGGTTTATTTCGCCGATTTATAATAGCCAACTAAATTACTATTATCAAGTCTGCGAAAGTTTGAACATTTGGTAATTTGTTTGGTTTAGCAGAAAAGTTTTGATTTTTCTGCTTGACATAACAGAATGCATAAATTGCGGTTGTCTCCAGTTCAGTAGACAAAATCATCTATCTATTTATTTACCTACACTTGTATCGTAACTGCGAAATGTTTTCACATCTAGTGGCTAAAGCAATTTTGATTGCTTCTGGGATAAAGTAAAATTGGATCTGGGTTAAGAACATAGGATACCTTTTATTGTAAAAAAATTTAAGTATGAAAAAGGAAATAAAAAGCTAGGTAGGGGAATCCGTCATATCAGCGAGACATTAATTTTATCTGTGAAAGATTTAATTCCATCCAGTCAGGTAGTTACTGCATCCGTAAACCATTAATGGTACCTAACCTAGTTTAAACTAATTGCTTATGCCTTCCCAGAGGAAAGTTAATTTATTTATTTGCTTGTCTGAAAGCTTAAATGGAGGTTACACTATTTAATTAAGGTCTACTCTACAACCATCAGTAAAAGTAAAATTCCCTTTCGACTCCCGAAGTCCCGTCTGATGGACTAATTTAATTTTGGCTACCTGGACGCAGACCCAGTTTCTTTGTTTGTCCTAACAAACGAGCTCACAACACAATGTAGTTGCCTCGCCATAAATACTCATAAAGCCATGTTTGAAATTAAGCCAAACGGTGCAGATTGGCCGCTGTCCTGAGTCACCGGATGTCGACGCATTATGTTTGGCGGCGCGCGCGCACGGGCCCTGGAAACGCGATTGTTGAATGCTCTGTCTTAGTGCGTTTTGCATTCCAGCTGTAGAATTAACCCACCTTTGATTGGGTGAACTGAATAAATTCGTTCCGTTTCCGCGAAGAAAGAATTTACATTTTAAATACTTTGTAGCGAAATAATATAACAACAGCTGTACCTACTACTTGGCTCTTAAATGATTTCTATCATCATCATCATCATCTACAACGTACGTTCAATCAGTTCATAACCTATGAAGATCTTCTTTATTTCAATGTGTGATGATGATATGCTCTCTTATACATATAGTTTTTTTATATGCACACAGTGTTGTTCAGTTAAAAACGTCAATTGCTGGGAAGATACGGTGTCACATGATTCGGTGATATAGGCTTCAGACGTCAAAATCTTTTGAACCACTAAAAACGTGTAATCAAACGACATGCTACTGTTTGTTTATGCAGAACTTACATTTGAATTTCAAATTAGTGTTTCAGAAATCAGAATATTTGCCGTAATCATGTGACGAAAGGTTTTGTGCTATTCGTTTCGCTTTAAGTTCAAGATAACGAGCATTTCTAATTGTTATTCGTTTATCCATCATTATTGTCATCATCAGTTCATGTCTGTTTACTCCTGGATCAAGGCTATCTTTATTAAAAGCAATAGTGTAATATTGGTCGCATATAAAATAACAAAAAAAAAGAAACGCCTGATTATATTGAAGGCAAAAACAACTTCTCATATTTAAATTAACACGCAAATAATACAAAAACCTTTTTGTCCGCAAACACGATAGCAAAATACAAATACAATAGTTGTACAAATAAAAGACACCGCGCCGCTACTGCCGCGGAGCCGGTAGAGGTCGCTGCCTGCGCGCGCGCAGCCTTCAAGGCGAGCCGCCGAGGCGAGACGACAAACGGACCGAGGCTGGTAAATGGTTAATTTGCTTGCAAATGTTTTGATTTAGTATGTTATTATTCAATCCGGCTCGAAGGACCGGATTTACAAACTCCTGTCTGCGGTTTCGTCACTAAGCTTTTACTACTTTAAAATACTCTTTATTCCTTACCAAAACTTCCATCTTCGATTTCGGATACAAAATTTCATCCTATAGTTTTTCGTCGTTTGTTTCGTTCATTTTTCCGTTTTCAACAATAGATTTTGGAACAAATATCAATGTCCAGCGTATGCTCTATACTAGAATTGATCGCGATGGCGGTTTAGGTTTGAAAACTTCAAGAAATCGTAATGAAAGGAACTTCATAGGATAAGTCTGCGTGCGGTAACCTCCTTAAGTAATCCGAGTCCCGTTCTCATGAATCTCAATCAAAATGGATGTATAAAACATTAACCAATGATAGCGACTGAAGATGGCTATATTATCTTATAATCAAGAAGTACATACTTCTTATCAAAGACACCAGCTTCCTTATACTTTTAAATGAAATAAGGAGCTGTCAGAATATCAGAAAAGTATTCCGCAACCGTACACCTAAAAAAGGTTGAACTTATGTATTCATAGACAGCTGTGAAGAATCTATAATATTTGATGTCAATTGTGATTTTGATTAATACATATTAGTAATTATTAGTTTGTAGATGCACAATGTTATTAACATGTGTTTATTTATATCATTTGTCAACGGATATCCATTTAGATGACCTATCGTTTCTGGGTCGACGCTCTCGCATAAATATCTACGAGTACCTCGTATAATCGCAAATGCGAACAGTAAGACTACCGAGACACGGCCAATGTCACTGGTATCAAGTGACTTTGGATTAAACACTTCAACTAGACAGTCTCTAATTAGCATAGAGAAAAGTCATGTGTTCAATACTTCAATACCTAGAGCAGTTGCAGGGCTTTCTGACGCTTTTGAAATTCACAATTTTGCCCAATGGGGAATTTACCCGCAAAATATTTCCCAGATAAACAAAATTTCCCGAATTTTCCATTTGGTTGGCGTCATAATTTGCGGTATGCGCACACGCAGAGCACGGGTGGCTGTTATTCAATAATGCGCCAATTGAGCTCTAATCGGAATCACGGCGTGATTCTAGTTCAGAGCGGAGTGGGTATGATGACTTATTGGATGTTTTCTGGATTATTCCACTCCTCTGACGTGGAATTCCAGATCTATAAGTTCTTCCGTATCTTGCAAATATAAATCGAAGCTTATGTAAAGTTTATCACTTTGTATAGCGGGTCGAAGTAAGCGTCGGAATGTGTTTTCCTTATTATCTTAATGACAAGATTCGATTCTTGTGTATTTTCCAGAGCTAAGTTTAATACATTTAGCTGCATATTGCTAGGGTATTATTGTTGTAGGGTTGAAAGTTAGGAGGAAGAAGTTGCAGGAAGTCAAATAATAAAATAGGAAACAATAATTATCTCGTACGCTTTTCCTAGTGTGGTAGTTCGTGATACTTTTTCTAGTGTGGTCAGGGAAGAAATTAGACAATGGTCACATACATGTTGAAATATACTAAGATATTTATGTGCGCCGCGTGCATGTCTTCAGTGGCCGCAATAATATTATTATTATCCTCCAAAGACATTGAGCGGTGTTTAAACTTGCTGTGTGTGTGATCAGGTGTTTTGTATGAACGCCTGGAGCAGAATTTGGTTAGCGTTACATCATCGTGGACACTACGGCAGAGGCAATTTGATTCGGTTTGGGTGATGTTACTTGTTTTGAAGAAAACTGGTTTTGTATAGATATTTGCGTGTGATGTCTGTTTGAAAAGGTACTAGTTGCTTAATTAACTAATTTAATAAATACAGGAAGACGGCGATAGAGGCGTCCAAAGATAAAATTTCGATTCCCTGTGAGGGCTTTTTGATATTCTGAATTACCTAAATGTTGTGCGCTTGTTCGGCGCTTCCCAAGGTAGAGCCTACAATGCAAATCAGTGTATTCCTATCTCGAAGTAAAATAAATGCTCGCCAATCGCCATTGATTACTAGTAAACAAACTCCACCAAAAACATACGCCATTGTTACTATGTTTTTGGCATTTTAAGAACTAGTTTGAGCATGACATGTTGTCGTGACTCAGGGGCAGTTGCCCTCTTAATAATGATCAGAATATATTATACAATTATTATAATAATGTCTACACAAATCTAATTTTATGTCTCCTTTTGAACTTGACAGGTTTTATTAAAGTTCAATTATAGCTATTAAACTGGTTGATGGACTTCCCCTCAACCTTGTTTGAGGATCTAGTATGCCTTGTTATACGTTACTTTGTGTATTTGCAAATTTCTGACTTGTGAAAACACGTATAGATATAAAAGGAAAAACATGCAACACCAATAAGTACTACACATAGCAAATCAAAACGGTTATTATGTAATCATAGATAATTATTATGATAGATACAAAGTTTAAAGTCTATATTATCGCTTAGTGATTTCAAATAACCTTTAATTATTAATGAACGTGCTTAGCAATTTGTGGTCAAAGATGTAGTATTAATTAATTTAGTCATCAAATTAACTACGTCTCGCGGATCTCAGACAAAAGTTTTGGAACAATAAAATTACGGTTCAGAATTCGCCCTTATATTAGGCATTTATCTTTACTGGGAAATGCGAATAGTTAATTGTTTTCGTTACAGAGCTGCCACAAGACGACAGCCCCTCAGTTCGTTCGCATTAATTCTTAACCGGACTTTCTCGTAATTACTGAAAACGCCAAAGTATTCTCGTCACGTAATCTGGTCTGTAATCCGATGAGGTCGTGTCGAATTTCCCATGATCCGATTTGGGGGGTATCCAACTACCCGCTTGGCTGCGACCTTCACCTTGCTGCTGAAGCCCCGCGTGACACGTGCGAAGTTCAAGTACAGAGGATGGCACATCAACCTTTACACTAGTATGTTTTGTTATTGGAATAGGAGCTATTTCGCAAAATGTATATTCCGATGTGCTCTCTGTACGTGAGACTACATTGCAAAATAACATCTATTACAAATACATACATACACCGTCACATGGTTTCAATGTCATCTGCTGTCACCCGTACAGAGATATCGACTGTGGTGGATTAGTTGTGATTGATTCTTAGATCTAATTATAACTAATAAGCCTTAGGGCCTTAGCTACCAGTGGCGCCGCCATCTTTGCACGTGAGATATTAAAGAGATAAAACAAGAGACGCGTTTAAATTCGTAAATATGTGATGCAATTGGCCTATCATTAAAAC